AATTGCTATGATAAGTATGAGTGAATGAATGATACTTTAATCAATTAAATATATTAAATTCATAAGTACTACTTTTTCATATCATATTTTTTTGAGTTCTTGTTTGCTAAACTAGAAATGTATGTTCTAAAATTCTGAAATATGATCCATGAGGGATTGTAATTAAATTATTAATGGCAATTGTAGTAGTTGTAAAATAATAATAATAAAAAGCATCACAATTCTAGTGCAAAATGTTGCTCCAATTGTTGCAAGACTAAAGTAGTGTATTTGCACTCAAATGTGTTGTCTTACTTATTGTGAGGAATGATGTTGCCTTGGTCAAAATAGTTGCAACAAATTTTTGTTTGTTGCTATAGGCATCTATGGCAACGGCCAAAATTTCAACACTTTCAAAATTGGAAAAGTGTTGCTATAGATTCTTAAAGCAACACATTAGGGTTTAATGCAACACTTTTAAAGTGTTGCCTTAAGTCATTTATAGTGTAGTGATGATGGGTGTCGGAACCAAGCTTACATTCCTGAAATTCCTTCCTCCATTTCCAAACATCCATATCCATCACATAGGAAATCACAAGTCTTGCATCGGATTCCACCTGAAAATCTCTATAACCAGCCTGAGCCGCCCATTTGGGAGCAAATAGAATCGTTTGTATCTCAGCCTCCACCGAAGAGGAAGCATTCGCCGGAAAACGAAGAGCGGACATCATTTCCCCGCTGATAGTTGCGCATAATTGATCCGCCTACAATCTGACTAGGTGAGAAAGAAGCATCAGTGTTTAATTTGAAACCAACTTTTGGCTTATTCCATTTTATCATTTGAAATCGAGAAAAGGGTCGATTCAGTACATGAAGTAGAGCCGGATGGAGTAAAGAGTACATCAATTTGAAAGTTGGTTAAGACGGTACACCTTTTGGGTTGTTACGCGTTGATCCAGTCTTAGGGTGAAGACCAGCCTTATTATTGGTGATGTGGCAAACGGAAAACTGAGTTGGAAAGAAACAACCAAGTCATCCGTTATCTGAGCAAAACGCTATACAAACCCTAACTATCATCGTTGTTAGCCAACACTTGGACAAACTCACTGGTGCTAAAGAATGGACTGCGACGCTTAGAGAGGTGAAGGGGGAAGGCCGAATTGAAGCATTAACCATGGAAAACACTAATCAAAGGTATGGTATGTTGTTCGTGTATGTGTTATTATAGTATGAACCGTGTATGAATGATATGTTCTGTAAGTATACTATTGCATTTTTTACATATGAGTTAGTTGGTGGAAGATATAATGCTTATGCATTTATTACTTGTTTTTTCTTTGTTATTGAATTTGGTAGTAATGACTCCATGTGTATTCCAACTACCCACAAACACTATCACAGTGGGGTGCAGGAGCCTATTGTTGATATTGGCTTTGAAGACCCACTTGTAGAGGCAGAAGCTAGCCTGCTTTTTGAAGAGAAATTCAATTCAGAAAACGAAGATGATGAGAAATTGCTCCATGGGTGAATGCTGCTAAAAAAAACTTTCACAAAACAGAAGAATGTTCGTGCAGGAAAGGAAAAAGTATATGAAGAAGGGACTAATGAGGATGCAGATGAAATGACACTGATTATTTCACTTCATCTGATGAGGGAAGTTACAAATCTGGTTCAGATGCAGAAGGAGAGGGGACTTTGAGAACAAAGTCCAGATTTCCTAGTTTCAAACCAACTGATGAAGTGGACTTCAGGTTGGGTGTGAGTTTTGAGTCAAAGCAAGAAGCTAAAGATGCCATGGACAAGTACTTTATCAGTAAGAGGTATCCATACTATTAGGCAAAGAATTTTGCTGACATGCTGAGGGCCAAATGTTCCAATTTAGACAAATGTTGCAGTTGGATGGTGTACATTGCCATAGACAAGAGAAGCAGTGGTAACAAGTGGGTTGAGAAGACATATGAGAGTGAGCATACATGCAACCCGAGCTGGCAAATACCTAGTGCAACTGCTTCTTGGTTAGTGAAGAATTTTTTCAAGTATAAGGCTGGAGTGGCTGATATGAAGGTGGCTTCCATGAGGGAAATGGTGAAGAAAGAATTGAACTGTGATGTTAGTCTTAAGCAAATGAGAAAGGTTAAGACAATGCTTAGAAAGCTAGAAAAGGGAGATATAGAGGAAGAGTACATGAACTTAAAGGATTATAAGGAAGAAATACATAGGTCCAATCAGGGTAATACTTGAATCCTAAATCCAATGTTCTAAAAGGCGCTAGGCGCTAGTCGGGAGTCAGCCCAGCGCCTAGCGCCTAGTCGGCTAGGCGGGCGCCTAGGCGGGGACTAGTCGGAGACATAAAAATTGTAGTTTTATCAATATATGTGCATAAATATGATTAGTAATGTTGTGTTTGTGTGTGTGTATAAAAGATATACACACATATACACATTAACATGCATGAATGATTGAGTTATCACATTTAATAATATATTATATCTACTTACTTACTCACTAGTAGCTTTCTTCTTATGCATTGTCAAAGTTAAAGGTATATATACCTTTTAGGATACTAAAATAAAAAAGGAAAAAATGTTCAATAAATGTACACGCCTAGGCGGCCCATTAAGCGCTCTAGGCGGGCAACTGGGCGCCCTAGGCGGCCGACTAATTCACTTAGGCGCCAAATCAATTAGTCGGAGCGCCTAGACTGAAATCGGGGCGCCCGACCACCGTCTAGCGCCTAGGCGGGGACTAGTCGGGCGCCTAGAGCGATTTTTAGAACAGTGCCTAAATCTATTGCACCCTAGCCCAGTATTTGATAGATTTTATGTGTGCTTCCATGCATGTAAAAAAGGATTCCTTGAAGGGTGTAGAAGACTGATAGGTATAGATGGGGCATTTATGAAAATTGAGGTGAAGGGTGAAATTCTGACTGCTGTAGGAAGAGATGAAAACAACCAAATGTAACACCCCGGCCCCGTAGGACCCGAGGTAGTTACTCTAAACACACCTTCCAGACCTCTAGTACTGTCCTCACAAACCATCACTAGCCTTTTCTGCACACATTGTCCTCACTCGTGCGCGCCCTGAGAAACTTTCCAGGGAGTCACCCATCCTAAGACTACTCCCGTGCACTCACGCTTAACTTTGGAGTTCTTAGGTGATGAGCTCCCTTAAAAGGAGATGCATCTTGTTGGTATGAGTAGTACTATTAATCCGTTTGAATTAAATCTCAAGTATTACACCAAATGTTCCCAATTGCATGGGCAGTTGTACCTTCTGAGACTAAAGCCCCCTGGAAGTGGTTTATAGAGAACCTCAGAGAAGGCTTGAATATTGGAAGGGGGAAAGACTGGGCTTTTGTTTCAAATCAACAAAAGGTCACACTCACTTTCATTTGTGCTTTAGTTTGGTTCATTTCTACCTGAAATTCACTTGTGTTAAATGTCAATTCACTTATGTTAAAATTAAAACATTATCCAAGATTTCACATTTTCATTTCATAGTATCATGATTTCATACCAATATGATTATAAAGTATCACAGAATGTAGTTTTACATTTTCATTTCATATTCTTAAATTGTATTATATATACTGTTTCATTTCATAGACTTACATTTGGTTATATGTACTGTTACATATCCCAGTATCATGATTTCACAGTCTGACATTATATTACATGTACTCTTATATATCCCAGTATTATATTACAATATATATTATGATACTATTGTACTGACACTTGCATATTGGACTACAGGGTTTGATGCCAGTTTTATATGAAACCTTACCTGATGTGGAACACAGAAGATGTGTCAGGCACATTTATGCAATTTGGAGAAGAAGTCATGGTGGCTTGGAATTGCAAGGGCAATTCTGGAAGTGCTGCAAATTAGCATCAAAGAGGGAATTTGAACTCAATCTAGAGGTACTTAAATCTCTGTCTCCAACTTCTCATGATGATATGGTGAAGATTGATCCCAAGTTCTGGTGTAGAGCCTTTTTCAATAGGACTATCAGGTGTGAAACAGTGGATAACAATCTTTGTGAGGCTATTAATGGTGTTATAGTACCTGCTAGATCTCTTTTTGGTTTTTCTCAGTTGGAATATTTAAGAAAATTGGTGATGCAGAGGCTAATAAAGAATAGGGACCTGGGTGAGAAGTGGGTAAGTGACTTAGGTCCTAGGATTAGGAGGAGGATAAACAAAAATGTGAAGGCAAGTAATTATTGGAGGGTTCTATTCAATGGCTCTGATAAATATGAGGTTTCTTGTGGACCAGACACATATTTGGTAGATTTGGACAATAGGAGTTGTTTATGGGAGCAATGGGATGTTTCGAGGATTCCATGCAAACATGCCATTTGTGCCATAAGACATAAGGGACATAGAATTGAGGATTATGTATCCCTATGGTATAAAAAGGAGATGTATTGCCATACATATTCTGAAATGATGTCCCCAATTGCTGGACCTATATTTTGGCCTAAAACAAATGTAAAAGTCCACCCGGATGAGTTGAAGAATAGAATTATAAATAAATAAATAAATAAATATATATATATATATATATATATATAAATATATAAATAAATAAATAAATAAATAAATAAATAAATAAATAAATACATAAAGCAAAAGAGGAAGAATATATTTATTTATTTATTTATTTATTTATTTATTTATTTATTTATTTATTTATTTATTTATTTATTTATTTATTTATTTATTTAGTTATTTATTTATTTATTTATTTTGAGTACCTATCTTTGTGCATGCATTTTGCTTTGGAATGATGTGGTGTTTGAGTACTTATAGGTCCAACAATAAATAAATAAATAAATAAATAAATAAATAAATAAAGCAAAAACAAATATATTTTTGAGTACCTATCTTTGTGCATGCCTATGAAGAATAGAATTAGGGAGATTGGTGAGATTCCTATGACGGGCAAGTTAACCAAAAGAGGAACTGCCATCACATGTCAACTGTGCTTCAAAAAAGGCCATAACAAGAAAGGTTGTCCTTCAAAAGAGCAAATTTTGCAAGGCACAACAACATTCCCTTTCGATTTACAAGGTGGTAATTCTCAACAACCCCAAGCAGGACCTGAAGAATCAACCCAAGATGGTAATCAGGTAATTGTGATAAAACATACTTCAATTTATTGGGTATTACTTTTCAAAATATCTCAAATGTTGCATCAAAACTAGTAACTGTAATTGTTTTCTTTACAGGAAAGTAACTCCACCTTTGGTCCTCCAAATGAGAACAATGTGCCAGGTAGTAGATTGCAGCATTACTTCACTGAAAACACTAATATGGAAGTGAGAAATTCAGACAATGTGTTTCAGTTTAGGGGGGAAAATGCAATCAGTGCTGATGGTTTGGAGGTAAACTTATATCTGATAAAGTTATATCACATATTCACAACTTATTATCTCATTAAACTTGAGCTTCTCCATTTAATATTGTAAACTTATATTTCATATTGTTCATATAGAGGTTGAGGCAAAGAAAGGGCAAAGAGATAAGTGAAAGGGCCAGTAAAGGAAGGAAAAAAATTGTTGAAGAAGTGGAACTTAACGGGGTGTCAACTACTGCATGAGACAGATTTCATACCTTGTTTGACTCTATGGAAGATGAATGTGAAGATTAGAGTTGTTCTGGCACTTGTGGAAACCCTAAGAATATGTTTTTGCATGTGTTTTGTTAAGTTAACTACCTTTTTGAACATATGTACTCTTAACAATGATGTTTGCTTGTAATTAGTCAGTGGGAGATGTCTGAGGTATGTGAAAGTATTCAGTTATTGTAAGGAATAAATGTAATTAGATTTTGATGATGCTATAGGATTAGAAAGGTAAAGTACCCCAATTAGATTTTTTGTATTAGATTTTTCAATTGTGAGTATTAGTGTAGTCGACGATCAGAGTTGCTCAGTTTTGGATCAGATCAGAAGTGCATCAGAACTGCTTGACCAGACTTGCTCTATGAGAACTGCTCCATCAGAGTTCTATTACCAGAAGTCCATCAGAGTTGCACCATGAGAGTTGCTGATAAACTTGGACATCTGATAGCCGATGAGAACTACAGATCAGAGGTACTCATCAGCGGACCTATCAGAGTCAGAGTTAGAGTTCAGTCAGAGATCAGAAGACCATCAGAACTCAACTCATCAGATAGCCATCAGAACCCAACACGTCAGAAGAGCCTGATCAGAGCCCGACGAACACTTAGAAGATTTCAAGCAACATCCAACAGCTATGAATTCAACGGGTAAAAACATCCAACGGCTAGAAGACTGTGCATGAAAGGAAAGCATTTAATGCACATTAAATGAGCCTGATACGCTGAAGGATTGATTGCAAATGATTGACCAAAGAATCCGGGAAGATATATTATAAAAATAGAAACCTTCCAAAACGGCGGTCAAGTCAACTGTACGCGCATTTAATGCAGTTGTCTCCTCCTCCAACGGGCAGACAACCTCAGTATATAAGCTACTCACCGAAGATCAGGAAAATAACTTTGCCAAGAATTCTTGATCCATTCCTGAACATACTTCTTGAGATTTAACCTTCATAACTACTACGTTGGGAAGATTCAAACTCCAAATCTCTCATCCCCAACAAACGAGCAAAGTTCATCCTGTTCTTCAACTCTTCAAGAACTTCATCAAACATCATTTGTGACGAAGCAAGTTGGAGGAAAAACTTTGTTTTTCAAAGGATCTTCTGAAAAGAAGGGCGTCCAAGTAACTGCAGTAGTGAAGTGGTGATACTTCCGGGAAGCTGAGTGAAAGGACCAGCCATCAGGACGTGGAACTGCATCCTGGGTGGCAACTAGGCTTGAAGAAGGCGTGGAGAACTTCTTAAGTGCTAGGAATTAGCTTTGTAACCGATCTACTTCAAAGCTAGTGGAACAGTGGACTAGAGGAACGCGTTGTTCCTTGAACCACTATAAAAATATCCGGTGTCATTTACTTTACTGCAATTTATTTTCCTGCACTTAGGATATTAACTGCTTAACTCTAAGACTTGGAATCTGTGTTCAGCAGATCTTGTTTTCAGAGTTATCAGAAAGGCACTTGCCTTAGTGTTTCTGAGGCTACCCGGACAGATCAGAATCCGCTGCCAAGGCCGGTTCTGATATCAGAACCAGCCTTTCTCTGTCATCAGAATCAGACCTTCTCTGATAAGTCACTTTGGACTTAGAGAAAATTTGAAAAACCAATCAGTCTATTCACCCCCCCTCTAGACTGATTACCATATTAAACGGGACCAACAGTTATGTAGCCCAACTGTATTGTGGTAGTACAAATCTGCAATTATGCTTCTTTTTACTCTCAGAATTCATGGAGGGATTGGTTATAAATCCTTGTTTTGCTTAGGAGGGTTGCCATTGGGTTTAATGTAACTATAATGTCATTAGCAAGTTGTTTTTTGAACTTCAAATATGCTTACTTCATTGCTTGGGGGTAATGTATACCTGCCTTATGTTATATACCTATAACTAAAGTGTTCCTACTTTATATTCAACTCACTTACAATAAGTTCCTTCTTTATACCAGCCACTAGCATTCATTCAGCCCCACAAAGTTTGACAAATTCGTGGGTTGGCCCCCACTCATGTGGGAGGTCACCCCTTTTTGTCCAGAAGTGTACAATCAGTCCCGAAAGTTGTATTTTTCGGACAATTTTGAATATATTTTATTTTATCGGGTCAAATAAATATTTTACATGTTCTTAATCATTATAACCCTTATAATGAATATACATTTCCCCACTTAAATTTATAAGTCTCCGAAATCCCAATTTCGGGCTTTTAACTATTAAATTACCAATACTGGTATTTGGGCCTCTTTTGATCAATCGGTCAACTCTGGGCCTTTCCATGGCCCAAACAAAATATCCACCACCATATAAATATTATCTAGACCAAGATGAATAAAATATATGGTCTCGGTGATACCGGGCGGTCCCCGCCCCCGGTGTGGGCCCCACGTGTGAATTTACTATTCACGCAAAAGAATTAATAAAATTCACAACTTCGTATTCTCATTAACCATTCCACAAGGTTCAATACTTTATCCACTTAAAAGTAAATACATTTGGGGACGGTGTTACATCCCGGATCTCTAAAGATCATCTCCAATGGAGTCAGGTACGCTTCCGCTCAGTTAATTCTCTAGATAATTCCAATATGAAGATTAAAGTATTATCGGATTTATTCCAATAGATTTTCCTAAAAAGATCAGGTATTATGATCTTTGACCTTGCACACATTTCTGGATCAATCCATTCAAACAGGTTGTAGCACCCCCCCCCCCCCCCCCGTACACTATTTTCAACAAGAACAGTATGTAATATTTTACCAAATCAAATATTTAGTGAAAACAACAAATCACATTATAATAGGAAAACCCCTTACTCTTGCACAGGCAATGAACCGTCTCCTTGGATTGTCATCTGTCCAGGACGTCATCAGCTTCACAGGTATTCCACACCCACACTTTCCATAATCCATTTTTCTCAATATATGTCCAATTCAATTCCAAAACGAGACGAGTACAATTGAAAAACTTCATCACAACATAAGAAATAAGGAGGAATAAGAAGGAATAACGAACTCACTCAAGCACCTCCACAGGTCACAGATGCTCCCCTTTTCGCGAACAGGTTCTCGTAATAATCGAAGAAGAAGATGAAGTGGGTTAAGCTTTAAATTAGGGTTTTACATTTAATAGGGAAGTTGGGAATGCTGACTCCGCATCCACGCATCCACCGTGTATGAACCAAATGGCTAATAAATGCCACGTTCGTGTTTTTTAACGGGCCTTCAACCTAAGTACTGGATCAACGCGAAAAAACCCAAAAGGTGTACCGTCTTAACCGATTTTCAAATTGATGTACTCTTTACTCCATCCGGCTCTACTTCATGTACTGAATCGACATTTTTCTCATTTGAAATATCATCCCCTTCAGCTTAATTTTTTTGGAATAAGATTCTCCTCTACCATAACATCACCAATCAAACTTACTTTCATATTAGATTGCGAGAGAGCCCATTGGTGAGTGTAATTTTTTATCTGCTGAATCAACTGTGTAGATGTAGGCGTCTATCTGCTTCTCCGCATAGAATATGAGCATAAGCTTTCCAAATGAACCCGCAAATAATTCTTGGTAGATTATGTTTGAATAAATCATCAAGTTTCTTGTTGCTAGCTTTGATCCACCACGAAATCAGGACATTCCTAATAGAACTATTAGTCCTAAGAATTGGAATTCCCATAATTCCCATAACATAGAACCATATGGGTTGGGAAAAATTGCATTGATAGAAAAGATGGTCCACAAAGTCTTCATTCCTTCTACACATAGGACAAATTGAAGGATTAACTACTACCTCAAACCTGATGAGGTTATTGGTGATAGGGAGAATATCTTTGAGCAGTTTCCATAGAAATAATTTTACCTTTGAGTGTTGCTTAGAATGCCACACATGTTTAAAAGTTAACATGCTTCCAGAATATGCTCTAATGAAGTTAAAGGCAGAGTGAAAACTGAAATTACCACTGTCCTGATGTCCGCTAAACTCCATTTGAATTCACCCTCAGAATTAATAGAGCAAATGGAAAGGGCCAATGAGTAAGCAGAGCATATTCTCCTCCAAATAGGTGAATCTGTCAGTTTGGGAATTTCCTCAACATCCCTGTGATATTTAGCATTGAAAAAGGAATTCCAGAAAGAATTTCCAATTTTTCATTTCCACCATAACTTTAAAGTAAAAGCCTTCTCTTTTTCAAGGTAGGAGTAACCTACCTTGAAAAATCCTAGTTCACAATTTTGGTAGTAGCAAAATTTTAAGTTTTGATGATCCACCATAAGTTAAAATAAAAGCCTTTTTGAATTCCAGTTTTCCATTTTGGTAATAGCAATAACCTAGTCACTTATATAGGGTTATCCCTTTTTGGTGGACTAGGGGGACGTTGACGTCGGAACTACTTGGACTTCTTACTATCCGGAGGGCTTGAAATCCCTTCTAATTTGGGGGGGTGGGGGGTGCACACTTATGGTAGAAGTTCAGATTCTATTGGAGTTGTGGTACCGGAAAAAGTCCCGTGGTGGCCGTATATAACAACAGAGCACTGAGCTCAATAAAATATTGAGCACCGCCCTTTGATTCTTACTAGGGAGTTTAGTCACCAATGAGATTTTGAGAAAAGTAAGAGAAGAGAATATTAGTGCTGATTGGAGAAATACTATTTGAGTGAATGATATTAAAAGTTATTTTAAAGGCTAATTATTGTGAGAAATGATATTTTGGAAAGAGCTACTTGTAAATATTTTTGGATATTGATTCGAGAAATATATTTCTGGATATTGGTTATGAGTATTTGGAATTTTGCATTTGATTTATACTTTAGAGTATTTGTGAGGATTTTTGGTGCTTTATGTATGTTTGGCATATTGGAAATTATTAGGATTTGGAAATATGTATCGATATATGAAATATTATTATTTTACTTGTGAATTGTGTGATTTAGAAG